ACTTCAGAAAAAAACAAAAAAAAAAAGCCCCCTGAAAAAAAAAAAAAAAAAAGCAGTACATGACATAAAAAAACTAAATAATTCAAGAATAATCGACAAATTCACCAACTGTTGCATTCTACAGCAAATATTTCATGATGCTTTTTTCCTTCTTGCACCACAAAGTCTATCTAGAAGAAATCATCTACTTTTTTTTATTAAAAAAAAGTTTGCAAATGAGCGGCGAGAAGAGAGGAGTCAGATGTGTACCAAACCTCGGTTTGGAGACGAGCGTCTGTAAGCATAGCAGAAATGAAGAGTACGACAGCAGGAGACGTCCTCTCTGCATGCGCAAAAGAGTAAAACATGCAACCGGAGCTCTGCTAAACATTCATGCCAACTTGTACATTACACACGACCAGTCCACACGTTTAACACACACACACACACACACACACACACACACGAGAAACAAAAGCTGATGTTCACAGGAATGTCTGTGCCGATGAAACCCTGGAATTAAACACAAAACAAAGAACATTGACCTGGATGACAAAAATGTCTTTATCCTCAATTATTTTGGCGCTGGTGATGTATTTTTAGAAACAGGGGATCTGCTGGCTGACTTCACATTAATTTTCTTTGTATTGTCTGTGTGTACTCAGGTTTAAGTCCCCCCCAGAATAGAAAAACAGGTACACACACACACACACACACACATGTCTGGTTTGCTATCCTTGTGGGGACTCTCCATAGGCGTAATGGTTTTTCTACTGTACAGACCGTATATTCTATTGCCGTACACCAACCCTACCCCTAAACCTACCCCTTACAGGAAACTTTGTGCATTTTTAGATTTTAAACAAACTTAATTCTGTATGATTTATAAGCTTTTGTACCCGTGGGGACCACAATTTAGGTCCCCACCATGACACGAGTCCCCATGAGTCTGTGTGTATTCAGGTTTAAGTCCCCACCAGAATAGAAAAACAGGTACACACACACACACACACACGTAAAGTCTAAACACGTAAATCCTAACTCTGGATCTCAACAAGAAGAAAGATCTATTTCAAACACCATGATTTGTTTCAGCACAAGGTTTGAGATCAGTTTGAGAGGCGAAAATGAGTGAGGATATTTATTACGCAGGTAAATGTTGAGCTTTTTTGTAAGAGTTACATTCTGAATACAAAATGTATATTAGTGACAGACTTTCTAGATGAATCTAAGAAGTGACCAGATCATATTTCACCACAAAATAAAAACAATATAAAAAAAAAAAGTTATATTTTGCATTAATATTCCTCCCTGCAATTCTCATTACCTCAATGAAAATAATAATAATGATTATTCATTAATGTAATGCAGAAATAAGCTCATTCTCATTCCAGAAACAGAGTAATGGAAAACACCTAGATTT